TGGGTCGTTGGTAGGTAGGAAGTTTTCCTACTAACACCTGAAATGTGGGGGTGTCTTGCCAAAGGAGTTTATGGTTCTTAGTACACGAGTCCTATGTTCTGGACGTACATAAGAACACGATAAATTGAATCAAGAAATTCATCGCTCTTTAGAAGATGCATTTCTATGAAGGTTCAATAAGGAACTGATAAGTGCCAAAGACACTTAGTTTTAAGGTCTATTAGGGGTGTGATTTGAGCTCAATTATGATCCTTTGTGCACCATTTTGAGTCATTTAATATATGTTGTGTATTATGTTTTAAATTACCACCACACTTTGTGTTTTATGAATTATAGGAAGGTTTGAGCTAAAAGGAGGCGTGGCGGCATATTCCGGAGCAAAGCAAAATGAGGAAACATCCCGGAGCCAAGCCGAGCCGAGAAGTAGCAACGCACGTTGGACGTGCGTTGAGAAGAAACAGAAAGTTCAACGCACAAACCACCATGCGTTGGACGACCACGTGGAACGGTCAAGTTACCGGCCAATGCACGTTGGCCGGGCGTTGGGCGCGCGTTGGAATGTCACTTATGGAAGGGAGATATTTAAGTGGCTAGATTAGATTAGGTTAGAAGAGGCTAGAGTTTTTAGAAGTTAGATTTTAGATTTTAGAGGGAGAAACATTTCAATTCCTAGCTCTACCTTCTCCCTAGCTTAGTGAAGATCAATTGAAGGAGGAGATTGACACTCTTCAAATTCAAGAGATCAACAATTGTATTTCAATTTGATAAACTCTTTACTTTAGCATTTCAATTGTTTGTTTGATTTTATAATTGCAATTTCATTTCCTTATGGCTATGAGTGGCTAGTTTTGCTAGGGTTTGAATTGTGATGTTTTGATTCTTGATGCCAATGTGACTTAATTCTTAGATTAGGAGTTGAATGTTGCTACGCTTTGGGAATCTAATTGTTGTGGATTGCTTTGTATTGCATCCTAGCAGCTAGGCCACCTCTTAGGGTTGTGCTAAGTGTGAAGCTTCTGTCCTTGACATTTCCTAGCCCAATGATCTAAGTGAGGAAAGATTTGTAGGCAAGGTATTCGAGGAAAGACCATAGAGACTTTAAGAGTCCAAAAGGGAGTTCTATTGTCTACTATGGCAAGTCTTAGTAGTTGAAGAACGAAAGGACATACGCATATTCCCTAGATTCGAGCATAGACACGTTCACACACCTATGGCTAATGATCTTAAATGCATCGTGAACAAAACTAGCAATTCAACCCTACTTTTATTCCCTTGTTTAATTGCTTTAATTGTTTGTTGCTTGTTAATATGACTATGACATATTGCGTGACACTAACTCAAACGCACACAAATCTATTTCTTTAAATTAACAACATGAAGCTTCTCCAATTTGTCATCCCTAGAGAACGATAATATCCGGGATTCATCCCACACTTGTTTGACCAACATTGAGAGAAACGTGAGGTGTCAGGAACCTAGCACGTTGAAATGAATGTTTGACGTAGCTGAGAATGGAGGGTCTGAAAGAGAACCCGAGCTCAAAGCTAGACGTAACAAGAGAGCTTGGATTGAAAAATCCTTGGTCCAGATTTTTTGACGTACATGCTAGAATGTGATGCGCATATTCTAACTTGTTCACTAGAAAATGAACCAGATTTTCTAACAAGTGTGTTAGAAAATGAGCCTCGAACGTATGTAGAAGTTGTGACTTCTACGGATGGACCAATGTGAAAAGAGGCTGCAAAAGTGAAGTAGATTCTATCTTAGAGAATCGTACTTGGACTGGTTGTCTTCCTACGGGTTGTAAAACCTTTGGATCTTAATGGATCACGTGTCAAAATATAAAACCGGTTGGTTTTATTGAAGTACATGGCCGGGCTTATAATTGAAGATTACATGCAACGCGAGTGTCGCGATTGGTTACTTCAATGTGTATTCTCTCGTGTTGATAATAAAATCCAATAGTATGATACTTGCCGTAGCCGAGACTTGGAAGTTCATCGAAATGGATGTATCGCTTTCTTAATAGGCATGGAACAACTTGAGGGTTTTGTGATTTCGCGCTATAGAAAGAAAGTGTGTAATTGGTAAGACCATTGTATGGTTGAAACAATTGCATTAGTATTTGACATGTGAGGTTTGATCATGCAATGATGATCAACGAGTTTAGTATAAACAAAGGTGACAAGTGTGTCTATGTAATGCGTACGATAGACGATGATATCACTATTTGTTTATACACGATAAACTCATCGTGGTAGTTTATTTGTATCTAATGGGTTGTACTAGGCCGGATATTGCCTTTGCGGTTAACAAACTCGGTAGATATACGAGTAACCCTGGTGATACGCACTAGAAAGCAATAGTGAGAGTTATGAGATACTTAAGGTATACTCGTGACTTTGGATTGCACTACGTAGGATATCTAGCTGGGTACTTGGAAAGTATAGCACGTTAACCGGATATCAAAGGACGCTAAGTCCATTAAAGGCTATGTATTTACGTAGGCCAGTGTAGTTGGTTGTGTGGAAATTCTCGACGACTTGTGATAGCTAAGATCCATAACGGAATCTAACCTAAGAGCCTTAGACATGTGTCGCCGAAAGGCTGAATGGCTACGCCATTTTTCCGAGGATATTCGTAATTGGGAAAACTCGTACCTCCAATTTGTGGTGCTTTGCGATAGTCAAACAAGAATTTGTTAAGTACAGAGTTAGATGTGGAATGGTAAGTCTAGGCTTATACGTCGTCGACATAATACCATTTAATACAATTTCTCACAACGGGTGTTATCTCTATTGACTACGTGTGTCAAAAGATAACATAGCGGCCGCTAACTCGCTAATATGAGGGTAAGCAAATGGTTTTTGAGAAGTTGAAACGAGGAATGGGTCTAAAGCCCTTAGTATAAAAGTTCTATAGTGGATACCCAACCTAGCTGGCACCTAGGTTCAATGGGACAACTAAATTATGGAACGGAGTGTCACTGTAGGGGTCTCGGACTCCCTACCACTCCTCGTTAGAACAGTGACTCCCGCACGAGGTTAGCACATTGATGATTTAATGATTGGAATGTCAATTGACATGCGTGAGCATGCGGGATACTCGGAAAAGAATCACCTATGTGAGAGAGAAGTGAGGGTCGCTTCAAAGGATAATTGATGGGCACAATTCTTTCGAAACTCTTGTAGAACCAGGAACGGTGACCCACAACCAAAACGGGTATAGTCATGAGAACAGAGCATGGTTGGGAGGTTCCTGAGTGAGATGTGTCATCGTCTACACAAGCAGTAGTCGGTTCAAAGACATCGTGTTCTACCGTACAACTAGTAGAGTAAACATATCTTCACAAGGGAAGGTTCAAAGGGTAACACCTACCTATCCTATGCAGGGATTGACCGTTGAACACAGTTGTTTCCGATTTCAAAATACTCTGAAAATTATTTTTTCATTCATGTGGGAGATTGTTGGAAAAATAGCATTAAAATAGAATTTTAAGTAGCTATTTTGTAGTACAATTATTAGTGGGGTCAACTTCCGATTTAGATCGGGTCAAAGTGGATTCGGGTTCTTCGTAGTGAGACGAAGAGATTGATATATTGTACGCTCAAAACAGAAAATGGGTGAATGAGATATTGATTCTCAAAGTAAACCCATTGAGTTCGAAAATTGAAGGGAAAAAGGAGCTTTTGTCCCACATTGCTTGGGGAAGTGGGTTTGCAACACTATTTATACAAGAGTCTTTCTAAGGTTTATTGAATTGTATAGCATAGAGGTTTTTTCTCGCGTGTAGGGGGGGAGGGGGGGGGTGCAAATTAAATCCTAAAGTGAGTGACTTGTGTACGTGCCATCATGAAATTAATCCTATATTAATCTCTATTTTAAAGGTTATAATTTGATTTTAAATCAGATTTAATGCCGTTGTTGAATGCTATTTACACCTCAATATCCTATATATTAATCTCTATCGCCATCATGAAATTAATCCTATATTAATCTCTATTTTAAAGGTTATAATCTGATTTTAAATCAGATTTAATGCCGTTGTTGAATGCTATTTACACCTCAATATCCTATATAAGTTTGTTGTTGGGGCAGCATGTTTTATAAGACGAACAAGACACAACACACAGAACGAAAATTAGTTTCTCTTTTCTCAAAAGTCTGATCCTACTCCATGCTTGCCAGCTGTGTTCTGCGCATGCCCGTGCTCTAGTTCGCCGGGTTCATTCGTTTGGGTGTTCAAACGTTGAATCGTAGTACGTTTAATACTGAGAAACCTAGACTACAAGGCTCCTAGCACTTTTGGGAGGTAGCAAATAAAGTTTTAAGGAAAGAATGTTTTGCTCAACTCGTACTAACCACTCTTATATATGTGTGTGTGTGTGTTTATATATATATATATATATATATATATATATATATATATATATGTGTGTGTGTGTGTGTGTGTGTGTGTACACACACACATATATATATATATATGTGTGTATATATATATATATATATATATATATATATATATATATATATATATATATATATATATATTTCGGATATATAGAATAATATCTTTATATATATTTTCGTGTGGATATATATATAAATACGGAGTATTATTTTGTGATTAAATCAACTTGGTTCATTTTTCCTACATCGGAGGGTGTCACGTTTTCCCATTGAAAATAAACTCATTTCTCGCCTTCCAAATACCCCACCCTACTTTGGTAATTAATCCTAATCCATTCATTAACAGGTTTGAACCTCTGGATGTCGAAGCCACCATTCGGTCTAGCGACGTCCCAACAGTCCACTGCGAAGGGGCCAGGCATTCACGTATGAGATGCGAGACCGTCTCCTCTTCGCTCCCGCATCTGGAGCAATTGCTGTCCTTTGTCAACTTTCTTCTCCATCTCTTAGAATTAGTGAGGAGTTTCCCTTTGATGAGCAGCCAAATGAGTTTTGACCTTTTCCACGCATTTTAACTTCCAGATCCATTCCTAGTTTCCTTCCTGATCGGCGTTCCATGTAATGATATTGAAGGCTAAACTAACAGAAAAATTACCTATCATGCTAGCAGGCCAACACAGCTTGTCTTCTGTTGCTTCGTCAATTGGCAGTGGAAGGGGCCGTATCTTGTTAATGATCTCTTCCAGTAGAAGGTCCTATAGAATCTCAAAATTCCAACAGCTATTAGAAGTAATGAAATCACTTACCTTAGCGTTATAGAGGTCTTTCGGGATATCAATCTCGATTTCCAACCCAAGTGGTTTGTCATTCACCCACCACTTTGACCAAAATTAAGTGATTCCCCATTGCTGACTCTCCAATGAGCCCCTAGCTCCACGATAGATCTCCCCTTGATAATACACCTCCACGGCTCCACCCCGAAAGAGGTTTTGTATTTTTTGGCGTCGAAGTGGTAAAGAAGTTGTCATTTTGTATATACTTGTTATTCAAGACTTTGACCTAGAGTTTCTCTGGGCAATTTATCATTTGCCACGCCAACTTTGTCAGGAGGGCCAGGTTGTCCAACGCAAATTATGCCGTGGAAACGTGTTCACCATACTTGGTGAACACGGTTCCATGGCATAACGATTGGTTGTCCAAACCCTCCCACCTCACGGGCATACAGACTTAGCTTCCCTCCCATTAATAGGGTGGATTTTTTGTTTTGTCTTCCTTAGTCCCCTAAAGAAAGTCCCCGTGTATTTTATCAATCTCATTACACGTACATGTAGGAAGCGCCATAGTTTGCATATTGTTGACCGGGACCGAAGCAAGAGCGGATTGAACAAGAATTCTCCTCAACGAATCAGCTTTCCAGTTTGAGAGTTTTCTCCTCATATTATCAAGGATGTAATTAAAATGTTGCTTGGTCACTCTTTTTTGCAGCATGGGGATTCCAAAATATTTCCCCAAGTTTTCAGTCACCTAGATGTATGTTGGCTATAGTTGTTGTTTCACAATAATTGAATGAGGCCCTTTTTCCTCTAACAAATCCAAAATTCTATTAATTGTAATTGATAAAATATCATATTAAATGTTCGTGTGAGTATCTATTAAGAACTTCTTAAAATTCCAAATACAATTACATAATAATTTTAATTTATCCAAAAATCATATATAAATTAACTATCAATCACATGTACAGTGATTCAAACGTACAATCGAACAAACGAAGGGTACACCAAAAAATATATAGGTACATGGGTCCACTCAAACGCAATGGAGGGACTGCTGCTCGAAAAATTTCTGCCTGGTATACGTACCGGCCGTGCTCCGATAGCTCCACCGCCGGTTCCGCTACCTCTATTAGCAATCCCGGCGGGACCTCCGTCATCACCACCAACTGTACCGTCTACACCTCGGCCTCTGTTATTTGTTCCGCCACCAGTTCCAGTTGTTGTTCCACCACCCTTTGCATCCCCTCCGCTGCTTACACCACCTCCCTTTGCTCCACCACTACCTATAGTGCCGCCGCCGCCACCACGAGCTCCTCCTCCACCACCAGCCTGACGAGAAACCGCAGACGTTACAAGAAGGCATATTGTAGAGAGCGCAAGAATCACCTTCACAAGCTGATGACTCATCTTCTCCGCTTCTCAAACTCTTCAATTCTTTCAATTATTCTTATTCTTCTTCTTTCCCAAAGTGGAAAATGTTTAGAGCAACTGTCAGAGATATAATTAATGGTAACCCAATAATTGAGTTGATGACTACTGCAGAAATTGAAGTAGGAAAAGTCGTAATTGGTCTGTGGTTGATTGGTTCGGTTGACGAAATAGTGGAATAGTCTTATTCATACATACATACATACATACATACATACATATATATATATATATATATATATATATATATATATATATATATATATATATATAGGCTTTGGATATGGTGCATCCCCTCTAATAGATGAGACCATGAGGCCCACTAATACCCATTGATTAAATTCCCATCTATGGTTGAGATTAAAAGAAATAACGTCAGTTATTATCAATGTTAAGGTTATATCAGTAATTGTAAGACTAATTTATTTAAGGACATAATTTTAATGGAATATGAACCATTTTTTGATGCTTTTGAGGATGGAAATTAAAAGATTCTACCTTTAAAAAGATTAAAGGAATGAATTAGCGTTAACAATGGTAGATGTGTGAAGGTAGGAGCAACAGTTTCGGACTTTCAACAAATGGATATTAGTAGTATCGGTAAGTGCTTATACACATCTAAGTCTGTGCATTTCCATGATTTTCCCGAAATGGTTGAGAACTGAACCAGGTTGGGGGGTGGTCGATAGCCACTATCAAAAATTGTAAGCGTGAAGGTACACCTGCATGTGCGTATGTCGTACAACCTAGTAGGCAAGTTAGGCTGTGTCTGTGTCTTTGTTTTTTCTTTGGGTTGTACCGGTAAGTGCATATACACTTTTACGTCTGTGCATATTCAATGGTTTTGTAATACGTTTGAAAACTGAACGAGGGTGTGGGGTGTTTGATACCCGACTATCCAACGGCCTAAGCGTAAAGATACGTTGGCCCGTGCGTAAGCTGTACTACCTAATAGACAAAATAGACTGTGTCCGTGTTTTTTTTTTTTTTTTTTTTTTTTTTTTGATTTGTACCAGTAAGTGCATAACCACTTTTATGTCCGTGCAGATAATATGCAGATGGTACCAAGGAAGCTTTTATAATATGCAGATGGTTTTTGAACAATACTGTTAGGAAGGAAGCTTTTATAGTTTGCAGTTTCTTATTTCCCATCTGGATGTACCTGCTTAGAAATTAGAAGTTATGATGTGGTGATTTTTTTAATGCCTGATTTTTTATGAAGTAGTAAAACAGTTGTATAACACAATGTCTGGACTGCCCCGTACCATACTTGTACATGCACAAACTATACAGCATGTTAATGCACATACCTTCTACTTATACAAAATTCAGCATTTAAATACCAATGCATTATACCTCTATATAACGCACAAACAATCTGGCCCTCTAACACAGCCAAAAATTATAATAATATATGTGTTAGTACGCCTAGAGTGCATGTATAGAATGCGTTGTAGACGATAGGTACGTGCATATCCGCGTAACGAAAAGGTCAAGTGCGAGGGCAGTATAAATTGGCTGCGTAATACGGTTATGATTGTTGAAAGCATATTAGTCATATGATTGGGTGGAAGATTTAGTACTTATATGTCAACCGGCCGATGCACCGTGAAATTAATCTGTTGTGCGTTGCATTGATGTAGTTAGTGCGTTTATATGGATGAAAGGTCGTTGGTGTACTATGCACTGAAATCGGCAAATAATGTTATAGAAATACGTATAATACGCATTGTCAATATGAAAACCAGAATGAAATCTGGTCTAGTCCAAAGCATAACAGAAATACCAAACAATACATAAAGTTAGAGATGTAATAATAAAAGCAATGTATATAATAAAGGTGTTCAACGAGACGCATCCATTGATCTCATGGCGGAGTTGAAATTCGTTCGACGATGGGTGTTGTTCTGAAACAGCAGGATATCGTACAAGTAGCGTGTGCGTAAAGCAAGCAAGGCACGTGCGTCACCCCGCAAAGACCACAATCCCATGACGCATAGGGCTGTCTGTAACACCCCCAAACAAGCTAGATAAAAAGCCTTAACACATGCAGATCAAACAACAAAAACTAGCACAGCGGAAGATAAAACGAGAACTGGATAAAAGAAATCCAAACGGGGTGTTACGCCACGTCTACCACACATGGTAAACGCTACGGCGATCAATCTGCAAGTGTATACATCTATCCCAAAGACATCAGTCTAAAACTACATTTGGCGCACAGGCCACAAAACAAGGATCAAGGTACTAAGCTATCAGGCACTAGACATCGCGCTCGTCTAAACATCACCTGAAAGATACAAAGATAAACATTGGGACGACGCCCGGTCAGCGATAATTGCTGGTAACCCACTAATATATGTGAAATATCATACATAGATAGATATAAGTTGTAAAACCATTTTCGAAACGGAATACATAAGTATATAAGTCAAAAACCAAGATCAACAGTCAACACAAGACTCATCTCTCACAAGGATAACACGGGAACACATCCCAAACCACAAAGGTTAAACACAACGCAAAGGATAAAGACAAGACCGATGGCAACACATGCCTCCGTGACTACACACGTCACGAGAGAAGAACACACAACACCGGCTACACAAGCCCTCGCAACATCACCCATCACGAGTTGTTATGCCTTCCTTATGCCCTGTTCCAACCTTTTGGCTACCCCCAACCTTATATCTTCTTCTAACCATTACCTCCAGGACCCCTGTACTTCTTAGTCCAACCTTATTCCCCCGGGACCGTCGTCCCCCACCAACGACCACCAACGAAACCACCAATTCATAGTACACAAGGTACCGTACACGACAACACATGGCTGGATAACACATGTTATCCCCCAAAAACGTGAACCTTACACAAAGGCCACAACTCCATAATCACGTCACGGCCACCACGAGGACCGCTGCAATACCTTGGTGACTAGCGTCCCATACCACTAATCGTGCAATCCAGGTAAAGCCACACACGCACCACAACTCAACAAGAGTCAAACAACGGATCACAACAAAGGTATGAAACATACTCAATCAAGGAATGGGTCACAGCCCAACAACATCAACGATGAATAACACAAGTTATCATCAACCAAACGAAAGGTACAAACCACACAAACGCTAGCATTAAGACAATAAACTAGCATGCTTAACAACGGAGAAACTCAAGATAGTTCCGAGGAACACACAAGACACCTCTTGGTCCAACGAAACACAATGTTGAACACTTAGCACGATTCAAGACACCAAAGTCCTACATGGATACCTACCATATAGTTCTAGACATACGAAACATCAAGAAGACACTCAAATAGTTCCACAAAAGAACATCGGGAAGTCAAAAGACCAAATACCGAGTCAAACGAATCACGAGGAACAAATCTCGAACAAACTCCACCATGTACCCGCCGGTGGACCCACGGGTAGTGCCCCACCCGTGGTTCCGCCCGCGGGAACATATTCCCACAGGGCTTTGTACCCGCGGGTAGGACGGCGGGCGGTGCCCCGCCCGCGGGAACACTCCTGTTCCACAACAAATCCCTTCAGGGATTTTCTTCTCCAAACACAAATTCAAGTCCAAAACATGCCAAATCTCACCCAACACAACAAAATGACTTGAATCATGGAAAATGCCAAGCAATGGCACAAAGGAACCCTAAACACAAGCTCTAGATATGCAATATCACAAGACAAATGCATAAACCCTCACATTTCATAGCAAAGCACAAGTAGAATCCAAGAAATCACATATAGGAAAGCACAAACGACATACACATCTACAAAAACATATAGCGACATAATAATTAGCAAAAAAAAAAAACACACACACACCACAACATCTAAATGCACAAAAATGTTCATGGAAAAGATGTTAACATGGATACACTGAAAAGAATTAGGGCTAACACGAAATGCACTCACATAGACACTGCTTCGCACATACCCATTGTGACACATCCCCTTAATATTCTTTCTTTGAAAAAAAGGGGGTATGACACACTGCATTAAACTACAAACAAAGCACTGAAGAATTAATATGCACAAAAATTAAAATTACAAAACCACGATACTAAATCTACACAATTATGTTTGAACATATATAACGCAACTACAAGATCCTCTACATGCCACCGATTACACTGGGACGCACATACTATATACCTACAATGCATTTTCCTACATCCCCATCACACCCATAACCCAATCAAACCACCACCAGTCCCCCCTCCCAGCCGGAAAAAAAATATGGCAGCCGGATAAAAAAAAAAAAGAAAAAGAATTGCCGCCGGATAACACGTTTCCGGCGGATAATTCTAACCCAAACCCTAAACCGTAACTACCCATACCGTCAACCATATATAAAAAAAAAAAAAAAAAAAAAAAAAAAAAAAAAAAAAAAAATGGCCGCCGGAAAATCACCACCATCACCCACATGCAACACAACCCCAACATCCCCATTAGAATGGCTTGACTACAGAACCCCAAAAACCCCAAAAATCCACATTGTTAGAATAACATATAGTTAACCAAACAAAACCTTAATCGTAACCCAAACCTAAACCATAACTACCCAGTCCCCCCTCCCAGACCCCGCCTCCCAGAAACCGTCGATGCACCGACCGCCCCAGACACCATACCCACACAGAACCCACACACAAAACCCCCGAAACGGAAAATACAGAAGCAAAAAAACCCCTACACACCCTAGCGAGAAACAACGAATCGACATAAATAAGGGGGATTGTGATTACCTTCAATGGAACCACCGTTAGACCTCCGTTGCATCTTCGATCGGCTGACAGTAAACCCAACCATGTTGAACGCGAGAGTTGTGATGGAGAGGGAGACAGTGATGGAGGTCGAAAATTGATGGAAGTGCCAGACAAAAGGAGACTGAGCAGGAGTTGGACTATGGCTGGAAGAGACATACACAGAAGACGAAGGGTTGAAATAATACACACGCAGATTCCC